CATTTCATAAGAAAAAATAATTTTTTTTTTGAAAATTCTTGGACACTGGGGCACCACTTCAAATTTGGGCCTTGGACCCTGAAGGGGTTAAATGTGAAAGTCTAATTATAAAAATAATTGAAATATACTGTGGGTAAAAAAAAGGCTTGTTTTAATTGTATATAAAAAATTACATTTTTTTAATTGTGAGGTTTATGCATGGTTGTGACATATTAACAATTATTTGTCAAGTTCTAAAAAATGTGTTGTTCTTTTATGTATTCATTTTTTGTAATGTGTATAGTTATACATTGTTGAATATTATTTGCTTTATTATGCATATTTTATTATAGATTTCTAATTTTGAAGTAGCTGCAAAAAAAATTTAGATAGTTTAAAAATTATTTTTGTCTATGATCGTTCAACTGTACTAAGAAACCAAAAGATTTCTCTGGTAGGAAACTCACAATGGTAAATTAGTCTTGCAGTGCTCCCTTATTTACTAGTTATTCATCATTTATGCAGCTTAAACATTTCATTATTAAATTTGTGTATGAATACTGTATTAACCTAAAGTTGTTAGCCAGGCAAGATGTATTGTCCTCATTTCTGAAATACAATTCCATCCAGTCGTGTTTCATGCCTTTAAAATGTACACTTCCTTTTTGCAATGCTTAAACAACCTCTTCAAGGAGGATGCTAGACACACTGACAAGGAATTAAAGCTACCCTTTCTCTCTCTCTCCTATGCTCAACCTGATTACCTCCCATTTCCCAGCAGCTGTATGACCCCCTATGGATTTAGAGCTTCATTTTTTTTTAATCGAGGTAAGCATTAAATCTGTAGGTGTCATACAATGCCTAGGAAATGGGAGGCAATCAGGTTTGAATAAAGGATAATTCCAATTCCTTGGACCAAGAGCTCTCACTACCACCAATATACTGAGCTTTAATGATTGCATTAATCATGCTGTGCTAGAAGATGCAAACTAACATTCTTTAAACCATCAAGTACAGTGCAAATTTCTCAGTTACAACTGTTTTCAAATTTATTTAAAAATATTTACATTTACTGCTAATAGTGTAACATATAGAATACCTCAAGTGATGCATGCTGTCACTCTGGCTTGTTAAAAGCCAGCTGCTGTTCCTAAATTTTTCTTATGAACGTTTTCTGTATTGTACGAGTCGACTGCTTCACTAAAACTAAAATACTTGGCTGAAAGAAATCAAGTATCTGGATAATTATATTCACCAAGAGTGGAAAACAGAACATTATAACTGCATATAGATACAGTGGTACCTTGACTTACGAGTTTAATTGGTTCTGTGACAGAGCTCGTAACTCAATTTGCTCATATATCAAATAAATTTTCTTCATTGAAATTAATTGAAATGTCATTAATCCGTTCCAGTGGAATTCCTGGCTCTTGGGAGGCAGGAGAAAGTGCTCCAGTATAACACTAATAAAAATTCTACAGCTTATTTATCTACCACAATTGGATCTAATATAGCATAATAAACAAATATAAATAACTGAAACATGATGTATACTCTAGAATGAATAAAACATGTTATTATTTGACAAGTGGTGGCAGCCACTCCCGAGGTAAAAATAATTATCGTTTTGACCATATCTTCCCAGTCTTGCCCTTCTGAGGTCTTATTATAAGAGAAAATGGAGTGCTTGTGAGGCTAACTGCACTAGATCACTAGTTTCATAAGAAAAACACTGAAACAAAAGAAATTTTCTCGTGTTTTTCTATGATTTCATGCTTTAATTCAACGGATATCATCCTCCTCTTCTCAGCACTGTCCTTTACACTTACTTTTATAGGACCCATGGTTAGAAAAAAAATTCAGCAAAATAACTGCACAAAACGCTGGGCGGATGTTGTGGTGTTCGCTGTGCCAATTAGTGGCAACATATCCGAGGCTCACTCATAACTTGGATTTTGGCTCAACTCAAAGCAAAATATCGACTGAGCAATGGCTCATAACTCGGAAAACTCGTAAGTTGGGGCACTCTTAAGTCAAGGTACCACTGTACTGGATATATGTTGTCTGACATTTACTTCAGAGATTAAACCATACCCCCGGCCGGGATTGAACCCGCGGTCATAGTCTCAAAACTCCAGCCCGTCGCGTTAGCCACTAGACCAGCTAGCCACAATAAGATTCATCCAACTAGGTATATTTCTACACCATAGGAAGGTTAGCACAGGCACCACTGTGACCACAAATGCAAGTTTTTACAGACGAATCTCCAGCTAGCGTGGCCGTGACGAACTCTAGCTCAAGTCCCTTCACTGGTGGCTAGCTGGTCTAGTGGCTAACGCGACGGGCTGGAGTTTTGAGACTATGACCGCGGGTTCAATCCCGGCCGGGGGTATGGTTTGTTTGCAATCGTGTCATTACGATTTCTTGAGTCATGTTCACTTCAGAGATTATTCCAGAAAAGACAAAACTGGTGTAAAACAAAATATATGACTCCCTACCCTTCAAAGAGGTAAGTTCAAGATGCTGGTGAGGGGCTCTTGATCTAGGAAATTGGATCTGTGCTCCAGTTACCTGAATGCCTTCTGTCCCCCCCCTCACAGGAGCTGTATAATCTACATGGGTTTAGTGCTCTCCCATAATAATACAGTTCAAGATTATAAAAATGCATGAAGTGTAAAGCTAAAATAGGTTTCGCAAAAGGAAAAATGCTTACTTGGGATCACAACTGATTATTATTTTTACATTCTCAACTGCTGTTCCCATAAGTCATGCAACAAATAGGAATTGGTAGGATTAGACTTTCACTGGCATCTAGGCATCCCACCTTGAAGGGTAGAGAATATTCAAAGTCAACAAACTTATGATTTTAACCCTTTGAGGGTCCAAGCCGTACATCTGTCATGAGCTCAGCTCACTCAGATAAGCTGTGAACAGTAAATTTGGGCTTAGATATAAGAGTGGATCTACATGGTAAGTATGCACCATGTAAAAAATACTGCAGCATGCAGTGCACGAGAAAAAAATGAGAGCCTGTTTTGAATTAAAACACCGACTTTGTGTATTTTCGTATGGTTTTTATGGTTGTATTCGCAGTTTTTTTGGTCTCATTTGATAGAATGGAAGATATATTACAGAAACAGAGATGATTTTGATTGGGTTTAGTACTGAAAATAGCTTGAAATTGAGCTCAAGTAACAGAAATGTTTGATTTTTGCTGATGTTCAAGAGCGAGCAAATGACTTCATGCGTCCAATACACGTCAACTGGTGGGTCTATATTTATACAATTATTAGAATATTGCATAACAGTAAATCTTCTATTTATTTTTGGTGTGAATAAAAATTCTTTATGTAAAGCCTGGAGAAATGTAACTAATAAACAGAGGAAATGTTATTTTAGTGCCAGGAATGCCTGAATTGTTTATTCTGGACCCTATTTTGAAACTGGAATACAGTGGACCCTCGAGTTTCGGCAGCCTCTACTTTCATGAAATTCGACCTTAGGCAAGTTTTTTTTTTTTTTTGAAAAATTTGGCCTTGAATTTCGTGAAAAAACTTGTGTTTCGGCGACCGTCCGGTACCCATCCGCCCGTCACCACGCACACAAAGCCAGTCTCCCACGCCATTCTCGCTCAGTGTGCCATATTTTACCAACACGTGACCATCACCCCGCAGGTTCATACACTACATTTCATAATAATCCAGTGTTTTTGTGCTTGCAACTGCTAAATAAGTCATCATGGACCCAAGGAAAGCTAGTGCAAGCCCTTTGGTAAATAAAGTGAGTGATGGGGATGTGGAAGAGTTGGTGGAGGACCACAGGGAAGAGCTAATCACTGACGAACTGCAAGAGCTTCAACTGGAACAGCATCAGACCACAGCCGAGGAACTTGCTTCAGAGGAGGAGGAAGAGGGAGTGGATGAGGTGCCTTCTTCAGTGATTAAGGACAAGTGTGGAATGTGGAATGAGTTGCAAAGTTTTGTTGAAAAGTATCACCCTGACCAAGCTGAAACAAGCCGTATCTGCAACACGTACAATGACAGTGTTGTGTCCCACTTCAGGGAAATCTTAAAGAAACGCCAGAAAAAGACCTCTCTGGATAGATATTTTGTGCGCCAGGGGTCCAGTGACTCTCAAGTTGTTCCTAGTGGCATTAAAAGAAGAAGGGAAGTAACCCCAGATAAGGACTTGCTACCTAAAGTCCTAATGGAAGGAGATTCTCCTTCCAAACAATAGTGTACACCTTCCTCCTATCACCTCCTCCCATCTTCCATCCACCCAGAAGTCTTCAGTAAAGGTAAGTGTAATATTATTATTTATTTTAAATACATGTACTTGATTTCTGATTGTTTTCATTATGTAAATCTTTATTTAATTTGAGAGAGAAAAAAAAAAAAAAAAAAAAAAATATTAATATTTTTGGGTGTCTGGAACGGATTAATTTTATTTCCATTATTTCTTATGTGGAAAATGGTTTCGAGTTTCGTGAATTTCGACCTTTGGCGGACTCTCTGGAATGGATTAATCACGAAACTCGGGTCCACTGTATTTTGAACTGTGTGAAATTGGCCCAATCACCAATTTCTGATCACTTTATTGGGTAGTTGAAATGGTTGATTGGGCAGTTTCTTGTGCTCAATCGATAAAATAAAAGTAATACACTAGCAAAATATAGTAAGAATTCGGTCAACTGGAATAATGCAATTGGCCTAAAATAAAAGTCAAACTGGGTAAAAATTGCCGATGCATAATACAGTGTCGGAGTGAAATTTGCAAGTGTAATTTTGTTAATTTTCCATCAAATTTTGTACTTGTTTTATTACCTTTAGAAAAAGATTCTCTACAATTTCGTAAGAAAAATATATATATTTTTTTAAATTCTTGGACCCTCGAAGGATCAACATTCACCTACCAGTACTGCGAACTGCATTAAAGAGGGCTGAATGTATATAGGTGTCATTAGACACTTTACCAACAAAAGTGGACAAAAACTGGTTACATGAAAAATGACTCATAAAACAGATTTTTACCAATATATTTTATTCCTGTACAAAAGACAAACTTAATACTACTGGACAAAAGTTCATTATGTCTTGTACATGCTGACTTTCAAGTAACTGCACATACAAGATACAATTATTTTTTTCTATTTCATAAAAAAAAAATGTTTTGGTTTAAGAGTCTTTAAAACTTTATGTGTTGCTAATAATATACATGGAGAAGTGGAGGAGAGTCCTTCCTCCTCAAGCCATGCATGTCATAAGAAGTGACTAAAATGCCAGGAGCAGAGTTGGTAACCCTTTTTGTATAAATTACTAAATGTAAAAAGAAGAAAAACTTTGTTCCTTCTTTTCTCAAGTCACCTTGCCTGGGTGGAAGACAGTTGTCAAAAATAAATATGTATACAAGATGGCCCCGATTTTACGGTGGGTTAGGTTCCGTGCTACCACTGTAAAGTGAGTCACCTTTTTTTTTACTTGTAAATGCATATAAATAACATAACATGTTTATACAATATCATATATTAAGTCAGCAACAGAATTAGGCCTAAAAAAAAAAAAAAAAAAAAAAAAAAAAAAAAAATCATATACAGTACACTCATTACTTTAAAATAATTCTGACCTTAACTTATTGTGAATGGTGAGTAGTATTTATTGTAGGAAGACAAAAGGAGATGGCACATCTTCATCCTGACACATCCAGGTTCACAGCAACACACCCGGATTCACGACAACACACCCAGGTTCAAGGCAACACACCCAATAATGCAGGCTACTGTATTAATGTAAAGATAATCTGTATATAATGCAAGGTGTTTGTGTTGTGGGAAAAATGCTCCATAAATGTATATATATAATGTCAGTGGACAGACCATCAGATGGACACGTATTAATACTTCGTCTCCTCACTTAACGACGGAGTTCTGTTCCTAAGACCTCGTCGGTAAATGAATTCGATGCTCAGTGAGGAGCATACTACAATGGTAGTGGGTTTGTGTCAATCATCTCTGATATTGTTTTAATGTTACCTTTGCACCATTTATAACATTTCTGGTATATTTTCAAATGTTTATACAGTAGTTTACTGTATATTGTAATAAACAGAATAGAGGAAATCAGCTCTGATATAAGTACATTATTTTGGTATGCACATTAGTCAGAGCCCCTGTCGTCAGTCTGAGTCATCGGTAAACAAGTACATCACCAAGTAAGGAGAGGCTGTACTTGTCCAAGTGGTATTCAATGTGTGTCCATCTGACACGTCCATTATTTGTCCACTCAAAACGCTGACGTGTATAAATTTATGGAATATTTTTTCCCTACAATACAAACAACTTACGTTATATACAAATTATTTTCACATTAATACAGTAGCCTACATAAGAGCAACACTCAGGCTCATGCAACACACCCTTTAGAGAGTGAGTGATGGTGTTTATGAGTAAAGGCATACAAAAGGAGTGTTTTTCTACAGTTACCTCAGTAATATCGACAGTTTCTCTGGTGGTATTGGACTAGAGAGAAAGTCTTATTGTATTTCTTGCTGTACACTCCTACAAGACGCCTGGCTACCACACCTCACAATTATGTCAATCTGTTCTAGTATGATTGTACAGTATTATGGTTATATGATATGCAGTGTGCTTCTTGTATAATTTTGAAAAATTGTGTCATAGATGGAATAATAAAAATGTCTAACATAATATACATTTAAATTTCCCCAGTGATCGTTATTATGCTTATGTTACTGCGTCAACACCAGTGAGACACTCCTAGCTACTCCTTCACCCGGCATAGCTACTCCTACTTTGTAATGCCAAATAGTGATTTTAATGTACCTGCATGCCAGCACAGTAAGTACACCTAAGTACAATTATCAGTACTATCTCAGTCAGACATTTCTAACTCTGCACTTAAAAAGGAGTTGTAAAGCTCTTACTTTATCACAACTACCTGTACAAGTTGAGTATATATAAAATACACATTAACTTTAAAACACTTGAAACTTTGGAAAGTTTCCAGATAGAATCATGAGATTGTGGAACTCGTGGAGGATGTAAACAAAGAAAATGACACGCGGACACCCAGCCAGCTGGGTGCTCAGGCTGTGACAGCGAATCAGGAGCCATACAAACAAATTTTTGGATATACAGTGGACCCCAGCAAATTTGTAGGGGTCCACTGTATATTCGCAAATTTTTCCTTGGATCTTAACCAATAATTGTTCGTGGAAATCCCCGCAAATTTGGGGAAATTTTTTTTTGTTTTTTTTTTCGTGGTAATATATAATTTTAACGCTAAATTACATTGTTACCTTACGTATACCAAAGAAAACAGGCTTGAATGAATTACAGTACATATGGGGGTAACATCGGTATTTTATATTCTAGCACTGAGGGAGACAGCAGTATAGTACTGTACAGTGGACCCCCGCATAACGATTACCTCCGAATGCGACCAATTATGTAAGTGTATTTATGTAAGTGCGTTTGTACGTGTATGTTTGGGGGTCTGAAATGGACTAATCTACTTCACAATATTCCTTATGGGAACAAATTCGGTCAGTACTGGCACCTGAACATACTTCTGGAGTGAAAAAATATTGTTAACCGGGGGTCCACTGTACGTATATGGGTTTATCTTTACATTTTGTGTTATGGGTGATGTATGAAGCTGAGTTTGAAGTGAAATTAAAGTATTTTGGGGGTATATTTAGGGTTTAAATTACAAAAATGGGGCTTTTTTTTTTTTTTTTTTTAACCATGTCCAGAATTCGCAGTTTTTCCAAATTCGCGGGTGGTCTTGGAACATAACCCCCGTGAACTTGGGGGACTACTGTATTATGAAATGTGTATTAGCAAAGCACCATAAATCAGGGCTCTCCTGTATAAACATGTTTTTTTTGACATGATGGCCATCTTCCACCGAGGTAGTGACCCAAAAAAGAAACACTTTCACCATCATTTATGCTGTAACTGTCTTGCCAGAGGCATGCAGAGAGGACAGTTTAGATGTCCCTCTAAACAGCAAATATCCCAAACCCCTCCTTTAGTGCAGACACTGTACTTCTCACTTCCATACATACAATTTTTTTTCTTAACACTGGTCACGTGCCACTAAAGCAGGGTGACCCGAAGAAGGGGTTACTAGACTTCTGCTTCTGGGATTCTAGTTGCCTCTTACAGCATGCATGGCTTACAGAGGAAGGATTCTTCTCCATGGAGTACTTTACACGTTTTTCAACATGCTGGCCATCTCCCCTATAATATATATATTATAAATATGTACATGTTTAACTCTGAGTCACCCTGCTGTGACAGGAGATGGCTATCTAATAAAAAAAAATTACATACACATGTATATTGTATACGTATATATTATACACTATTTTATTTATTTCAGGTACAATATTGTGTATAATCACCATTACTTGTGCCCAACAAGTTTCAGAACTTTGTAACTATCCTAATCAGTTTCATTATGAAATTTCAACAATTATGCATGTTATATGGCAAAACACGCTAATAGATTTTATAGTGTAAATTTCAGGAAATATACGTGTCGCCCGATTATATAGAGAAAGAGGGCAGGAGGAGGTAAGATAAGGTACTGCATACAACATTTACTTATTTTTGTTTCTCAGCTGCCATCTCACGATGCTGTGCGGACTATCGACTGCTTTAGGAAGGTCAACCTGTAGGGAGAAAAAATGGGTGTGTCAAATATACATACAATGGTCAGCAGAATTACTGCTAGTGCCAGACCCAGTCCTGGTGAACTCCTGCAATTTTTTTTTTTTTTAGTTATGAATCTTGTGCATTATTGGAAATCTGTGTAAACAGTTTATAAGTAGTTGACCACCACTTAATGACCTAGATGGAGTAAAGTGTGATGTTATTGTTATTTTCAGCAGAGAAGGGCAACAGGAGGTTCAGTCATAAAACAATGATTGAGGCTTTGTGAAAAGTACTCATTGAACCAACAGATAATTGATCCCACTAGAAATGAAAATACCCTGGACTTGATATTCACAAACAACAAGGAACTAATCAGAGATATAAGAGTTACAAAAACAATATACAGTGGAACTTCCACTTGCGAGTGCACCCACGTGCGAGTTTTTCCAAATATGAGCAGTCGATCGGTCAATTTTTTGCTTCCATATACGAGTGAAATTTCCATATGCAAGCGGGCCTCAAAGGAGGTTCTTTGACGCTGGTGAGGGGCTCTTGCTCTTGATTTAGGGAATTGGATCTCGTTTGTTTATTGGGCAATCTTATTGAAATGTGGGCAATGTATGATGGAAAGACGCTTCTTAACATACACCAAAATTGAAAGAAATCGGACCATAAATAATGGAGTTCACTTCTCAGCAATTAGTCACCCCTTAGCGGTATTTTTGAATGGTTTTTATGGTCATTCTTTTTTTTTTTGGTCTCATTTGATAGAATGGAAGATATATTACAGAAATAGATATTATTTTGGATGGTTTCATGACAAGGAGTACCTTTATTATTATAATAAAAAAGAAGCGCTAAACCACAAGGGCTATACAGCGCTGCAGGGCAGGGAAGGAAGCAAGGGTATCGGGTGGCAAAAGGAAAAGGGATGATTAGTAGGTTACAGAGAACAGTGGGGCAGTGGATAGTGCGGGGGTAGAGGGCAGCAAGAGATTGAAGTAGAAAGGGCTGAGGGGAGTGTGAAAGGTATCGCCATCAGTTTGTGGAGTAAATAAGTCGTTGTTAAAAAGTCAATGAGAGAGTCCGGATTAAAGGAGGGTCCATCAGCAAGAAGGGAAGGTAAAGAGAGAGCAGCAAAGCGGAGACGACGTTGGAGGTAAATTCTGCGTGCTCGTTGATAGAGTGGGCAATCTAACAGAATGTGGCTAACCGATACTGGAACCTGACAATTCTCACAAACAGAAACAGGGCGCCTCTCCATGAGATACCCATGAGTAAGAAGAGTGTGGCCAATGCGAAGACAGGAGAGAGTCGTCTCCCAACCTCGACACTGATGACAAGAGGACGGTCAGTAACCTAAACTCAGTTTAAAAGAACGAAATTTGTTATTGAGCAGATCAGACCAGCGTTGTTGCCAACGAGTGTGAAGGTGGGTAGCTATTACAGCAAAATAGTCCGTGAATGGAACACCTCGATATGAAACTGGTAGGTCATGTACTGCTGACCGAGCAGCAGTGTCTGCCTGTTCATTGCCATGTACATCAACATGACCAGGGACCCAACAAAAAACTATCTTTATGCTTGGTAGAGATACGGCGTAATCAAAGTTGGATACGAAGAACTAGGGGTGAGGTGTATCAAATTTTTGTATAGGCTGTAAAGCACTAACGGAGTCTGAAACAACCACAAATGATGACACGGGCATAGATGCAATACGGATAAGTGCTGCAAGAATGGCATACAATTCAGCAGTAAAAATGCTAGCCGAGGATAGTAAATGCCCTCACACGACACTGTCCGGAAACACTGCTGCAAATCCAACGCCGTCAGAAGACTTAGAGCCATCTGTGTACACTGCAATGACATGAGAATGAGAGCGGAAGTGGTCACGAAAGAGAGCGGGAGGATACAGTAGGCAGTTGGGCTTTTGTGCAAGAGTGAGAAAGAACAGACTCGTACAGCTGGAACTTCCTAGGGGGGCAGGGAAAAGCAAGATGCTACATGAACATAGAAAGGTGGTAACTGAAGGGAATGTGAATGTAGGTGAAGAGAAAAGGGATGGAGCAAACGGGCGACGAACAAATAAAGAATGTCTACTGATATCTGTGACTATTCAATATATGGAAGGACTGCGGAGATCATGAGAGCGAATATAGTAGCGAAGGCAAAGGGCATCACGGCGATTGGACAAGGATGGAATATTCGCTTCTGCATAGAGGCTCTCAACAGGGAAAGAGCGAAAAGCACCAAGGCATAAGTGTAATCCCTGGTGATGAATGGGATTAAGGCTAGAGAGAGTAGCAGGAGAGGTTGCTGAATAGATCTGGTCATCATAATCGAGTTTCGATAAAATGAAGGCTGAATGTAGGCGGAGGAAAGTTCGACGATCAGCTCCCCATGAAAGATGAGCAAGGGTTTTAAGAAGGTTCAGCCAGCTGACACGTTCCCTTCAGAGAGGTAATGCGAGGTTTCCAGGATAACTTACGGTCAAAGAGAAGGCCTAGAAACCTGACCGTATCACGTTCAGGGATACACGAGCCATAGAGGTACAAAGGATGATCGGAGAGGTGGCCCAATTGGAAACACAGTCGACCGCATACTGGAAAGAAACTGCAATGCGGTGATAGCGCCTGCACAAGTAATAGCAAAGTCATCAACATAAGAGTGATGACCAAATATTGGATGGAAGAGGAGGGGCCAAATCATTTATAGCAAGGAGAAAAAGCGTTGTGCTCAGAACAGCCCTGGGGTACACTTTCAGCTTGGAGGAAGTCCGGGGAGAGCATATTATTAACTCGAACACGGAAATGTCTGTCAGTTAAGAAGTTCTTAAGGAAGGATGGTAGATTGCCTCGGAGGCTAAGGAGTGGGCTAGGGCCAAAATATTATACCTCCAAGTTGTGTCATATGCCTTCTCAAGGTCAAAAAATATGGCAATAACTGAGTGGTTGTTTGAGAAGGCATTACGAACATACGTATCCAAGCGTAGTAAGGGGTCTATGGTAGAACGACCCTTACGAAAGCCATATTGACGAGTGGAGAGACTGTCGTGTGTCTCTAAATACCACATTAAATGTTAATTTACCAGACTTTCCATCACTTTACAAACTGCACTGGTGAGAGCAATGGGACGATAGTGGGAGGCAACATGTCCCGTAGTACCCGGTTTGCGGAAAGGGAGAACAATGGCAGATTTCCACAGCTGGGAAAGAACTCCTTGTGACCAAATAAGATTGAAGAGGTGTAAGAGGGCTGCAAGGGCTGACTGATGTAAATGTTGCAACATCCGAATATGAATGTCGTCTGGCCCAGCTGCCGATCGGCAAGCCGAGTGTGTCGCCTCCAGTTCCTGAAGTGTTAAAGGCACATTATAATATTCTTCATTGATGGAAGAAAAGTCTAAGGGCACTAACTCTCTGGCAGACTTTGAGGAAAGAAATGAGGGGCATAGATGGAGCCCCTGAGAAATACGGACCAGATGATTGCCAATTTCAATGGCAACGTCAAGAGGGTTTGCTATATCAACAACGGCGACCCGCAGAACGGAAGCCAGGTCAGGAGAGTATTTACCACTCAGTTTCTGTACCTTTTTCCAGACTGCACTCGTAGAAGAAGCAGAGGTGATGGTGGAAACAATCTCGCCAGCAAGTGTGTTTAGCGTCACGGATGACATGGCGAGTGACCGCACGCTTCTGCTTAAAATCAAGAAGTCTCTCAGTGGTTCTACTGTACCGGTACCTGCTCCACGCAGCGCGTTTCAAACATACTGCACGAGCACAAGCAGGAGACCACCAAGGCAAGCACTTCCGAGAACGCCTGCCCAAGGTTTGGGGTATAGAATGAAAAGCTGCGGTTAAAACTGAGGATGAGAAGAGGTGTAAAAAGCTCATCAATGGAGGACGAAGAAGGAACCTCACTAAAAGCCGTTAGTTGCGAGTAAAGGTCCCAATTTGCTCGATCAAATTGCCAGCGTGGGCTACGAAGAGGTGGTGAATATGAAGGGGAAGTAAGAATGATTAGAAAATGACCGCTGTCATGCAAGTCCGGGAGAACAGACAAGGTGAAGTCTAGTGCAGTGGAAGAAGAGCAGACCAAAAGATCAATGCAAGAGAGAGTACGAGTATGAGGATCAAAATGGGTATTCAAAACACGGAGGGGGCGAGAAGCGAGAAATGCTTCCAACTGAATGCCACGGGAATCACAGTGAGGACCCCCTAGAGGAAATGATGGGCATTAAAATCGCCAAGTAACATAAGTGGTGGTGGTGGTGGTGGTGGTAAGGATGAAAAAAGAAAGGCAACATCTGGGATAGATAATGCCTGAGAAGGAGAGAGATACAAAGAACAGATTGTATACCACTTATGCAAGTGGATATGGGCTGCAGTGTAATGCAGTGAAGTATGAACAAAGAGCTGAAGGTAAGGAATATCAGTGCATAGGAGAAGGGCACTTTCATTAAAGGTCCCATCAGAAAAAGGATCTGAAGAATACAATAAATTATAGCCCGAGATGGGATAGATAACAGCGGAGTGTAATTTTAGTTCTTGTAAGCAAACACCAACGGGAAAACCGGGAGAGCAACATCTGAAGCTCACCCCTATTACCCCTGAGGCCGTGAATATTCCACTGTAAATAGGCCAGGATTGGCAACGATAAAGGTACCAGAAATCTGCAGGTAAGGGTACTTATGGACTAGAGGGGTTAGAAAAGTCCACATGGCGGCAGCGGGAAACGTTCAAGTAGCAAAGGAACGGAGCGCTGTGAAGAAAGGAGTTGCGCATATGCAGGAAAGAGAAAGAACAGGAGGTGGATCAGTGTCCATTGATGGTTTAGTCTCCAATATATTCAGAGATAGCGTCAAGCATTTCGGAAGTCAAAGACGTTGTATGGGAGACAATAATGGAGGTAGGAGGAGGAGGAGGTTGAGTAAAGATTGGAACAGCAATGGACTGTACCAAAGTAGGGGGGGATGAAAGAGTGAAGGGCACTGGAGAAGTGTGGGAAGAGACAGAAG